ATCTAACCTAACTCCATCAATCTCTACTACTGACAATCAAATTTTTTTCTTATAAATAGGAATTTATACCAAGCACTGATATCAGAACGTTCGCTCACTTTCTGATTTTGAGGTTAGAAGCACGGAGAACGACATTAAAAACATTTTATTATCTATAATGAAGGTTCATTTGAGATAAATTTTGAGTTTTCTTTACAACGCAATGTGGTAACAAAAGTTTTTTATAGCTATTATTTTCTATTAAATGACTGCTCCAAGGACTCACTTAGAGAAGAAGGAAAAACCACGTTTTCGCACAGTTCGATCGAGAGCAAAAGCTGCCACGAGAAGAGCATCGTGGGCGAACGCGCTGCTCGCCTTTAATTTTTAAAAAAATGAATTAACGACGAAACAGACCAAGATTAATATCTGACTCACTGGCAGGTAATCAACTGTTTGTAAACGTTCTCGATACATTTCTTCAAACACTTTCTTGTTCTGTCTGAAAAGTCGGTATATCAAAGAGGATAAGTTTTATACATCAAAAGAACCAGATATTCAATCCATTGATATCTACACCTGATTTCAGACTTTTTTGCTAGAAGTCAATGAAGCCTGCGATTCTAAAAAACTTGTTCTTCCCACCTACGCAACTAACTTTTTTGAGAGCTTAAGGTAATACTTCTTATTCAGCTTCTCCCTGTGATAAAGTCCTTGTTTAAGCTTTTTTCATTTAGATTTGCTCACACAAATTTTTTATCCATTCGATCAAACATCTGAAAACCCGTGATATTGATCAGCGAATAGTGGAATGAGGCCAGATCTGCATCTTCCATTTCCTGGAAATCAGCTTATTACATATAGGGAAAAGTTGAAATTATTGCTACTAACAAAATTAGCGAAAACATAGTGGTACTCCTTCTTGACAAGTACACTTTCTTCAAGGGCTCTTAAAAACATCCTCATACGATAGCCGCCCTCGAGATCAACGATCACATGAACTGGCCTGAAGGACTTTTTACAGTTTCTCAAATTTGGATATTTTTTCGAATTCCATTTTGTAATAGAGGACTCACTGAGCAAGCTCCGTTGCTACGTCACCGGAAGCATTGCTTTTATTGACTTGTGCAAGTGACATCCTTCTGTGAAAGTCGTTTAGAAATTCGCGGAAGAATTCCTCATCGGTGGGAGCCTGCAGACGGTTTGTAAAAAAGATATACTTTGGATTGGAAAAAATTACCCACCCTAAAATTATCCACAAACAGATTGTACCCCATCTGTTTTGCGTTAAGATACTCGAACATTCCATGCAAAGTCCGGTCAGCTATCAAAATAAGTTTTATCGGGTAAAGTAAATGCTGTGAGCTACCCAACCATTTGCTCCATCGTGTATGTAGACCACATGAGACCATCCTTTATATTTGATGTAATCGACCAAAATGTGGTCTACTAGTGGCCTTACAGAGAACGTCATAGGAGATCGCCTTGCATCAGCTGTTCGAACGTCGGATACTTCCCAGTCGACAAGAGGCACCTTTTTAAGATTTATTAAAATAAGGAAAAAAATTTTCCATAAGCAAGTACATGAATAAGCTGAAGAGGCATTTTAACCAAAATCAACTTTTGTAAAAATTTAGCCTATTTTCAATTTGGATTATTTTTCTTTTACCATCATAGAATCCGCAATGGCCTGATA